AGAATATCAACCATTAACAACCAAAGTACTTGCCGAACATTTACCCACCAAAATATTAAAGGATTTAACCACCAAATTATTGAATGACAATAAAATAAATTACTGACCAAATTTCGTAGCTAATTTACCGACGCATATTTTTTTTGGTAGCTAATTTTTTAACAACAAGGCAATTAATGACCATATATTTATGTCGGCATTCCGTCGATAATTTGAAATTATTCATTTTACCAAAGGAAATATACATTGGTAATAGCCAAAATTTTTATAGTGAAGTCATTTTTTGGTGATTATTTTGTCCCAAAATATAAATGGTTTTGAGTTTTTTAAAGAATAAAATGATATTTTTCTAATGTTACCCTCTTTTAAATTAGATATAATAATACTTTCACAAATAACTATTGGTTTTGAGATAAAGGATAATTTGGTCAAATTACTCTTAGTTTTGTTATAATCTAGGAGAATTAGTTACTTTTTTAATCCTTGTGCAAAAATAAGGACTTATGTTTTAGGACATAGGGAGTAACATTTAAGATGCCAAGTTTTAATAACTCAATTGTTGGCCTCCTAGTTGTGTTGTTGTTGGGCGAATAGTTGTTGTAGTAAATGGATTTATCAAGAACATGCATGTACACTTCATCTAAGCGAAATTAAAGGTGAAAATGGCTAGAATATTTCTTTTTCTTTAACTGATTCATATCCACAGGAACATATGGGAATAAATTTTCCGGTCATCAACTCACTTCTCCATTGAACTCAATGGTATAGTGTCCTACCAATTATCTTATCCTTAGGAGTTTCATGATGCTCAATTGAAAAGATTAGGTGATCTTCAAAGGATTCAACTGCAATAAATAAAAGATTCTCATTTTAAAATGTATTAAAAATTCGTGCTTATAATATGTCTTTGTCACTCGAGATGTAGATATTACGTGGTGATTATGGGTGAGCACAATTTGGTATCATGCTGTTTTAAAATATTTCAAATTGAATTAGAAATGCGATTTATAGATTTTTCAATTCAAATCAAACCATTTAACCGATGAAATCAAATTGAATATAAATCAAAATAAAGTGATTTAGGTGGTTCGATTTGCAGTATGGTACCGTTAAAATAACTTTTTAATTATTTTAATTATGTTAAATAACATAATGAATTCTTATATAATATATAATATATAACAAAGTAAAAATTTATAACTAGCAAAAAAAATGCTCAATTATTTAATAACATAAAGTATAACATACAGAATATCAATTTTTGTAGTTTAAATTTATAAAAACAATAAGATTACATGACCCATCAAAATGTAACAATACTAATAAAAATCTTTTCATAAAATAAATAAATTTCTTTCAATACTATATCATTAACTAGTCGAATCCGCATGATGTGCGGACTAATACGTACGAATAACTAATAAGAATTAAATTTGATTGAAAAATATAAATAAATTAATATTATGAAAAATATAATATTTTTCATTTACCATTTTTTTTATTCTTTGATTTTGATAACTAAAAATACTAATCCAATTTTTTCTATAAATTTAAAAATGATAAAAGAATTTTACACTAATAAATTAAAAATCATAAACTCACCTTCTTAACTAAACTAAAAAAAAAAACATAAAAATTTCTTTTTATAAATTAAAATAATTACTCAAACCATAAAATTACCCGAATGGAAAACGAAGGAAACTTCAGGAATCGTTAATTATATGTGACTTTTGCTTAAGATATAAATTTTTATCACCATTTAAAAATATGTTGGACAAAAAAAGGAAAATAAGAACTTATATGATAAATTCGGAGATGTAGTACTTATATACATCGTACTCAATAAGGAATTAAGATTTTTTTTAAAAAAATTAGAGGATAATTAAATTATAAAACAACAAAATATTACATTAATTTATAGTGTGGTTATTGATAATTGAAAAAACTAATTAGTGTTCTATTATTAATATAAAAAATCTATTATTTGGATTTTTTTTTTTTTTGAAAGAGAAATGCATATAATGCATTGACTCAACGGAAAAAAATTCCAACAAACATGGTGGGATGAATCTCAAATCTGGAAGCTATTATGACAGTAAGATGTGCGAGTAACAGTATGAGCACTTACGTTAGCTTGACTTCTAATCCAAACAACGTTAATTCTTTCCTACTATCGAATATAGTTTTGCAATCGAAAATAAGTAAACCAAAAACTGAATTATCCACTGCTGTAGATTTAAGAGCAAAAACATTGTTTGAGAATCAATATAAATAAAGCCCTTGCCAAGACAAAACTGTTGTGCATAGACAAAGCATTGCCTAAGTGTTGTTGCTTCTGTAATATCCAAATTGTTTCTAACTTCTGCATAACCTGATAGACCTTAAGGAGTCGAACCTCCTTATCCTCGAAAGTAATCCTAAAGCTAATAATACCTGTTGATTAGAAGATGGCGCCATCAACATGGCTTGCCATGCATTCGAGTTGTTAATAATTTGCACATTTTGGGCAATAGCATACAAGTGAGAGACCAAACTTTGTTTTCGTATTCAGAAACTGCCAGTCTTGTAACTGGGATCGAGCAGTTATTAGTATCCCTTCACATGGTGTCCGAATATTGTTCCACATAAATTCCAAGAATACCAAATATTTTAGGTCACCATTGCAAACAAGTTAGCAATAATAGCATCATTTTGATTCAGTACATGCACAAAAAATCTTTAAAACAACCCTTAGTTGGCTCTCTCCTAAAGTCCCCAAGTCTTCAAATATTACTAGCCCTCCCACATCCCACTAAAGCATGATCTATATTCTTAACCATACCACAAAACAGACAATCGTCATTAATATTAATCCCCCTTCTCTTTATTTTCTCATTAGTAAGCAACACACCCCTTAAACTTCTCTAAATAAGATCTCTCACCTTTGGTGGGACATCCAACTTTCACACCTGACTCCAAACATCCTAATCCCTTTATTATTATCCCTTCCCAATGTATGCATAGCCACCAGGTACCCAGACTTAACACTATAAATACCCATCCTCTCAAAATGCCAAATAAGTTGGTCATCTCTATTCATCAAACTAAGAGAAATTTCTAGAATAGTCCTAACATCTCTAGCATAATATAAGCTCATGATTTTATCTATATCCCACCTACGGCTCACCAACTTTAACAGATCACGAACTCTCAGATCTGAATTAATAAAATCATCTTTATCACTTACTCTAAAAGGGTATTCAATAGGAAGCCAATGATCCGTCACAACATTTATACTCAAACCATTCCCTACTCTCATACGAACCCCATATTTTAAAACTTCTCTAGAAGACAACATACTCTTTCAAAATAAACTAGGATTATTATCTAGGGAAGCACTGAGAAAATCCACATCCGAAAAGCATTTGGCTTTGAAGACACAACAATAAAGAGTTTTGGGTTTCAATAATAATCTCCATCCTTGTTTTCCTAGCACTGCCAAATTAAAACAATGAAGGTCCCTAAACCCCATCGCTTCCTCTTTTTTTCATCCCACATATTCTATCCCATGACAACCAATGCACACCCTTCCCTCCATTTTTCTTCTACTCCTACTATTTGGATTATTAATTATTGCAAAAGAAAGAAAACAAAGAGTTTTTTTTTATTAATGAAATAAATTTAATTTATGGTTATTAATTATTAAATAAAAAAATGAAAAGTTTTTATAATTTGATTTCTTCAAATTAGATAATTAAACAAAAATGTTAAAAAATTTTAAAAATAATAAAATTTCACATCATCAATTAAGTTTTATAATATCATGTCATATAAACAAATTTGGTTGAAATTTTATTTATTTATATAGACTAGTCTTTGTTATGATGTGCCTCGCACGTTCACTATGTTCATTATATATTTGTACTCTTTAATTTTTTTAATTTATTTAATTTTTTTAATTTATATAATATTAAAACATAAGTTTTGTTTAGATTAAAATAAATACAATTGATTAATTTGTATTGGATTTTATTGTATAAACTACTTGTATGATACTACTTATGTACTTAATTAATTCTATTTCATTGTAATGAAGCGGTCTCAAAATAAAATTCAACCCAATCTTTACACCTAATCCCTCAGTCTCTAATTCATAAATGCAGATTCTTAAAAAATTAATAAGTGCCAAAAAAAAAAAAAAATAAGTCATCACTTAATTTTCAACCTCGTGCCGTCAATCCAAATCAATATCTATATACAACTATAATGAAAATAATTATAAATTATTTTTTGGTGTTGGTAAAAAAGAGAAATGAGTAAATGATCTGAATTGATAATAGTAATTACTTTGACTATAGTGATAGTATTACTTGCTCATTGCTTAGAGAAAAGAATATATGCACATACATAGAAATTCTTGAAACTCCAAAAAGTGACCAAAAACAGAAATATGTAATTTTAGTTTTTTTTTTTCAGTTTTATAAACACAATTTTTTTTTCAAGTCAAACAGATTTAGAATATAATTGAAAAAATATTAAGAAAATTAAAAATGTTTAATCCCATCTATTTATTGCAAGAGAAATATAAATCTCTTACTAAATTAAAGTGATAGTAGTTGCAAATTAATTCAGTAATAAAAAAGAAAATAAAAAATCTCTTACTAAATTAAAGTGATAGTAGTTGCAAATTAATTCAGTAATAAAAAAGAAAATAAAAAAATAAAAAATTATTATTAAGAATAGAACTTTTTTTGGAACTTAACATATAATAAGAAACAAACTATATTAAAAAATTAACAATTTGAATTTCAAAAATCAATTTCTTCTTTAACCGAAAATACTGTAATTTAATGAAATTTGACGTTGATAGACAAAAAAATGAGAAGATTATAACTAAATCAATAAATAAAAATTATAAAATAAATAATGCTAGATCTAATTTTATTTTTCAAAGTTGTAAATCTAATCTAAATAAATTAATTAATCAATAAAAAAATTACATAAATAAAACATTATATCCTCGTCAAATAAACCTTTAATTTTCTTCAACGTCGGACTAGCACAACACCGCCTGTACGACACTTATCAATACACGGTTAGTCTTTTTCTCCGGCAGAGGGAAATTAAAGAAACAGAACGGTGAGAAATGTCGATTCTGTGGGAGAAGAGCGAAACATGGAGGTGGTTAGTCAGGAAGACAAGAGACTCAAAACCTTTCTTCTTCACCTTCGCCACTATCTGCGGAGTCGTTCCTGGTGTCATCGGCTATTGTGTCATGCAGGCCACCAACTCCCGCAACCCGGAGCTTGAGTCCCACCTCCGCCAGAACGCCCGCCCCGAATCCTTGGTACTATCAAATTCCATCTATTATATTATTCCTTCTTATGGATTCTCGTTATATATCTCTAGGATTTATAATTTGATTTTGCTTGAGCATTGAAGTTTATGTGAAATTCTTGGGAGTAAGTTTATGTGATTTTGCTCTAAAATTAACTTTTTGTACAATTTACACCTGAGATGTTACGACCTCCAATTTGTTATGGATTTTGGGGGATCAGCCTTCTGATCTGATTTGCTGTCAGGGGAGAGTAGAATTGAAAATAATTTAATGAGCTCGTAATTCTAATAATTATAATTGTATAAGGCGTGATATGAGGTGGTGGAATCTGTTTCGTATATTGTGCTGTGAAAATTGCTATTTGAATGTGAGGACTGTTTGGATGACTTTAATTTGAATTACTTCAGGAAATAACTATTTGTTTTCAGAAAATTGGGAAAAATGCTCTTACTGCTATGATATTGTGTCTAGAGCTTGTTCTTATTTACTGTGTTAATGCTTTGTTGATAAGAAAAAGAAATTAATAGGGTAAGGAAGAGACGAGTATACACTGTGATGGACAATGAATCCTCCTACATAACTCAAAAGAACATTAACTTAAGGCAAAAAATTGAGTCCCCAGTTGACTTGGATAACATTAAAAGAGACCCATCAATAGCTATTAGGGGCGAGGTGCATCAAGGGCAAAGGGGTATTGGAGCCCAGGGTCATTGTGCAAGCGCACACCTAATTGGTATAAAGAAGACACCTAATCCCACATAAGGCCAATTATTCATAATAATGACATAAAATAACTAAAATTCTAGCAGCAATATACCTGAACTCCAAACAAAAATAGAAGTCTCAGCCCATAATCCTATATTCCGCTAAATTAGAATAAATATATAAAACTAATATAATAGAAAAAATGAGTTCAGAAACAATTTTAATTGAAAAGTGTGTTCTTGAGGATTTTTTATTGGCCATGGTGGATGGTTAGAAATTTAGCAAAATTATTAACACAAAAAAAAGAGAGGGAGAGAGAAGAAATTGTGAATTGGATTACTAGTTTAATCTCCAATTGGTTTACATGTATTTAATTTGAGCAGTGGTGTTCATGCTCCTCAACAATCTTCTTTTGCTTCACAAGATTCTGTGCTAATAGTTTATGTAGATTTTCAGATATCTTGTGACAAGATAAATGTGCTTGCCACAAAAGAAAAATGAAACAAATCCTTTCTTCTCTCCCCATCTTTTCTCGTGCTCTCCTTTTATCTCACTCTTATATTTTTTATTTTTCATTTTTTCAACTTCCCTTCAATTAATTAGTCTTTACTTTAGTGGAATTGATACACAATTGGAGAGTGCATGATAGACTAACAAAAGAGAGACGGGAAATCATTAATTGAGAAATCAGGAAGTGATGAGGAAAGAAAAAAAAATGGAGAGAGAAAAGGAGGATAGATAGAGAAGAGCACTTGATTAGTGATCTATAATGCAGTGTATCAAAGGGTGGCTTCTTATAGTCATGTTATCTCTGCGTGCTACTTCACCCATCATTCAAGGGCCTGAGGTTAGAGAGAGAACTGGAGAGAGGCCAGTAAAAATTTTACAAATTTTAATTGCCCAACATCGACCAAATAGCTGCTATCATTTGTAATCTCCGTGATCATCCATTAAGTTTGTCTCTTTGCAACATCACTAGCAAAAGTCTAAAAAAAAAAAAAAAATCATATTTGATCTAGTGAAAATAGGTAGGTACACAGTATTCTTTTCCTTTTTTTTTCTTTTTCTGAACTTAGGTAGATCCTATGTTGCAACGATCCTGGATTTGTAAAAGGGAGTGGAATTTCTAATTACTAACTGTAGTGCAAACTAGTGCCTATGCATCAGTGGGGGGCATGCAGGCCAAACAACCTCTCCATAGGCTATGCATGTGCATGTTTATATATATATATATATATATATATATGAAAACTAGTTTAATTGTGATATATCATTTATAGGTAGTTTATATTTGTTTTGATGTATGATAAAAATTTGATTATAAGCCATTTTTTAACAATCTTATAATTTAAGATCTTAATAAAGACATTCTAAAGTTTAATCATATATCATACTTTGCTATAAAATAATCACATTGATAGGTCATATGCGTATATACACAATTGATTTTAAAAATTTTTTGAAAGAGTTGGCTTTTATTTTTCAACCTTCTCACAAGGAGCAGCCCTGTTCATCATAATCGGACAAGGGACCCCTATATTATATTTGTAGCTAATAGCTTAAAGCCATCAAATCGGCTCCTGTTTAGGGCTTTACTAGTTTAATTTTCTAATGGATTCCTTATTAGGGAGCGCAAATATTTTTTTAATTTTTTTTTTAAATTTGGAACCAGAACATCATCTTGAAATTGTTCCAAATATTTGGGGCAAGTTGGAGTGGAAATTTTTTCCACACAGCACAGATAGTTTTTAGTTCTGTGATTTTCAAATCCTCTACTTCTCGGTTTGGTTCGGAGATTTTCAAATCTGTGATTTGTATCCGACCCATGTACAGTCCTGCATTCTAAGATCTATGACATGATTTGGCCCATTTAATTAGTTAACTAGGTAAGTTTGAATTCTATAGATGAATAGTAATCATTCTAAAATTTAGGAGGATTACAGAATACAGATGTGATTTACCCCAACAAATGTCATAATGTGCTATTCCTTTTTGATTTTTGTCTTAAAGTTAAGAAGCAAAGGCATGACTAGGCACATGCCTTGCACCTTCACTGAGGCACACGCCTTAGCAAAAAGATTTGTGCCTCAATAATATCACACCAACATTTAGGGTTTGAGGCAGTCCTTTGCACCTTGTGTTTAACGCACTCCTTTTAACAACAATGAACCCTCTAAAAGCTGCAAAACTTGTTCTACAACAATCTGAAGGACTTATGGAGATTTGCACTTTCTTATATCCATAGGCTCCACATAACCAGAAAATAAGGAAAAAATTTTGTAGTTTTGGCATCTTTTCTTAAAACTTCTCTTAAAAAATGTTAGGAAGAAAAAATGTTAGGAAGGCAATTGCACATTAACAAGCCACTTTATATTGCAAAGTAACCTAAAGTGAAAAGAAAAAATTTGAGTAGTAAGTATTCGTGGTGTTTTAGCAATGATTAGAAAAGGAGAAGAAAGAATAGTGAAGAGAAAACTAAGCCCCAAGCCATTCAAGTAAAATGGTTATGTCTATTTATTAAAACTAAAGAAAATAGCAGTTTCCATGATGATCGTAGAGTTAATAACCAACCTACTCCGCGAGGTATTGGGAATCCCAAACTATGAAAATTCTAAAACAATATATTAAGTGGGAATAAACATATTAAATAGCTAGCCTACTCCATTACTAAGGTAAACTAACATAAAGGCTTCTGAGGCTTACCATAATTGTCCCTAACTTTTAGAAATTAGCATGTTTAGTCTCTAACATTTGTTAACGACCAAACGCTTGTATCATTGCACTTCAGTTATTGATGTTTTAATTTATTTAACATCTCAATCCCTAAAAGTTTCAAAAATATAATATACATTATTGAGTTAGATTAGAAAATAGTGTAGTACATCAAAATCTTGCATTTTCAAGCGAAGTTAGTTTAGGGATTAAAACCAAATTCTGAAATAATAAGGATATGCTAATTATGGCAAGCCTCAGGGTTGTGATGATGGTTAACCTTATCACTAATCCTACTCCTTCACCAAGTAGGATTTAAAGAATCCCTTATTAAATGGGAATAATGTAGAAATAAATGGGAATGAGTTTCATCTTTATTTAATGTATAGCTGACCGATTAGTGGTGTACTTGATTTGGTTCAGTGCAGTTTAAGTTTTGAAACAAACTGTAAATTTACAGGTTGTAAATTTTCAAATTGAACTAAACTGTTTTAGATATAAAACTAAATTGAAATAAGACTGTTTAGTTTGATTTTTTAAAACAGTTTGAAGAAACAACTAATCTTATTTAAATATAATATGGTTATACCTATTAATTTTTTTTAAACTCATTTTTTCTTTTAAGTTTTTATAAAAATTACAAACCAAATTTCTTTTCCAAGAATCTAACTGAACTAAATTACTAATTTAGTTTTATTGAGTCTGGTTTAGTGGTTTGTCTTGAATAGTGAATAAATAAAACGATCACCCATAGTCATTATTACTCATACTGCCAAAATGGACCTTCACCGCTATTAGACACACTTTCTCCTTTTTTCCTAACCTCTACACAAATATGCTCTTTCAGCTGTGTATTAAAACACAACCCAATAGTTGACAAATATTGAGCTTAAACTTGAAGCATTTCAAATCAAATCAACATAACTAAGGTATTTTTGTAATTCAATTGTGCTGCCACCATTTGCAATCAACATGGATATTGATGTATGGTAAAGCTACCCATTAGACATATTATTTTAGATTCCAACATTGATTTCCTCTCCCTTTTATATTCACAATGCTCAAGCTATAATTTTCCCTTTTGCTTGGTGGTGTCCTGTTGAAGCCCAAAATCTTGATTTTTTTATTTTTATTTTTATTTATTTATTTATTTATGTCATTTCCTGTTCTATTATTAGACTAAATTTTTCTGTTGCATCTTGTTAAAGGCATGTCCTTAGTGCAAGGCTGACAGGGTTCAGGCCCTGGTGCCTCTTCCAATGGACTCAAAACCTTCCCAATCTATTAATATTAATATTTGGTGTAGATGTGTTGATAAGTCTCGAAAATATTCTGTCTCCATGCCAAACTTTTACCCTATTACCACCTTGGAATGATGCTTCTATTTCTGACATACATGCACCACAAATCTATCTCCACTTACCTTGGTTCTTTTTTTTTTTTTCAAAAAAAAAACAGTACTGAAAGATGAGAATGTATTTTCATATACTGCACATTTTTCTCCCAAAAACTGTACGTCCAATGTTATAGTCTTACACAGAAAATACTAACATTTGATTTGATTTAGGCACACAATAGAACCATTGCCGCTAGTTTTAAAAAACAAAAACAAACAAAAGAGTAGCTCAATTTTTTTGTTGCTTCTGGTCATCCAACAATAACTGGGGAATGGATTGTTGGTGTTTTTGATATATTGCAGACATATATCATCATAATTTACAGCCTTGTGATCTCTCTGGATTGCTTTGCTTTTTTAGGGGAAAAAAGTGTTACCGGGTCAATTTGGTTAAATTGTGCTAATGTCTTGAATTGGTTATAAACATCACGTCCCAATTTTTAACTGTTGTTGCAAATTGTATGTTTTCTTAGTCCAAGACCTCTTTGTGGCTTACTGCAGCTTCAGCCCTTCATTTCTATGATTTTGCACAATATTACCTAGCCCGCTTCTAATAATTCTCATCCTAATATAATTTTACCTTGACTAGTTCTGTTTCGTGAATTTTTAATTCAGATGATGGGGAAGGTTAATCAAGAGAGACTGGCGGAATACCTCGGAGAGCTGCAGAGAAAGCAGGATACAAATGACCGATATGTTGCTGCTCTGAGAGGGGAGACCTTAACCAGGAACCCTTATGTGAGAATTCAACCAATACCAAAGCAAGGCAACATGGAAACTGCAAATGAGCAGATTGAAAAGGATAAAAAGTAGTTCAGTAGCGGCAGATTGGAAAGGTTAGAAAGAAGTTTGGTAGATGGGTCTTGCCAGTAAATAACATTTTGTTTATATGGTGCCAGAGTAACATGCACTCTCTGGACTTGAATATTGTTCCGTCAATTTTTGAGTTTGTTTGAACTTTTACACTTACCTGTCTTCCACAATTAACAATTTCTTGATAACTCGTGGATGGTGGGCATCAATAATAATCATGATTCACTCTGCCGACCGTGAATTTCAGTAGCTTACGATCAAGATCTGAACGTTGTGGTAGTTTTCTTATGCAAAGTAATCTTTTTAATATGATAGAAACTACAGCGATAGGCAATAGCATTTGATGAAAAGTTATGAAGCATTTCTTGGACGGCCAAATACATAATTATAAAATTTCAAAAAAGAAAAAAAAAAAAGAAAAATATTGTGGCTTCTTAAATTTCGAAAATGTTTTTATGCTCTCCTGAATTATATTTTTCGATAATAATCTTACATTTCTTACATTGCAAAGTGAATCAAATATAGAAAAAATAAATTCAAGCGATTACAAGGTCACTTTTTCAAGTTTAGCGAGCTACAATGTCATTTTCTGAAAGTTCAAGGGGACGAGTATTTTTTCTTTTTAAGTTCAAAGGTTGAATTATATATTTTGGCAATTTTGGAGAATTTTAGGGGGCTGATGCTACTTGCACATATCTTGATTATCTCCATAATTTTTATCTTCCTACTGAACTATATAGAACTAATATTGTTTTAATTCCTAAGAAGAAAGATCCTTAGCTTATGTCGGATCTTAGACCCATTTCACCGTGTAACGTGGTCTATAAGATTGTTACTAAGATGCTTGCTAATCGGTTGAAGCCACTATTGCCTAAAATCATATCCTGCTCTCAAAGTGCATTCATTCCCGCCGGCTCATCATTGATAACATCAAGATTGCATTTGAGATTGTCCATTTTTTGAAACAAAAGCCGCAGGGGAAAGATAACTTTACTGCGCTTAAAATCGATACGAGCAAGACATATGACAGGATTGAATGAGATTTTTGCCGAGGAATGATGCAGAAGTTGGGTGTATGTGCTCCATGAATTAACAGGATTATTATGTGCTTGTCTTCGACTTTTTATTCTATTGTAACCAAGGATGGTGAAATTGGCCTATTTTTCCAAGCCGAGGGGATCTGTTCTCCACTTACTTGTTTATACTTTGAGCGGAAGGTCTGTCAGCTTTGATTAAAAAGAAAAAAGCTTGAGGTCTTTTAGTTGGTTGTCGGGTATGTTGCGGAGCATCGGTTGTTTCACGTCTCTTTTTTGCTGATGATTGCTATTTTTTTAAAAGGAACAGATTCAGAATGTACGCAGATAAAACTGTCTTTCTACATATGAGAAAGCTTCTAACTAGTAAGTGAACTTTTAGAAATCTTCACTTTTTTTCAGTTCAAATATGCATACTAAGATGTGGAGACGGATCTGTTAGTTGCTGTAAGTGTCCAAAAATACCCAGATGAATACTTGTCTCGGGCTTCCTTCCATGATAGGTCGAAAGAAGCGTGATATTTTGCTTATTTGAGGACAAGGTCTGAGTAGATTGGAAAATTTGAATAAACAAATTCTCTCTGGTGCTGGAAAAGAAATTCTACTCAAATTCGCTTCACAAGCATTACCATCTTATGCAATGGGTGTTTTTCTCTTACCATTGGAACTTTGTGCTGAGATTGAAAGGATGTTTAATTCATTTTGGTGGGGTAGGAAGAACTCGTTGGGAGGGGGAATTCGTGGGTTGAGTTGGAGAAGAATGTGCTCAAGTTGATGGACGGGTGGGCTGAATTTTAGAATGTTCCATGAATTCAACATTGCTATGTTGGGCAAGCAAGGATGAAGGTTACTAACTGAGCCTCATTCTTTAATTGCTCATATTTATAAAGTGAGATACTACCCACGGTGTTCTTTTTAAAATGCTAAGAAAGGTCATAATCCTAGTTTCATCTGGACTAGTATTTGAGCTTCTTAGCATTTGATACAAGCAGGCTTTCGTTGGAGAGTTTCCAGTTGTTCAAATATTCATATTTGGACTGACCCCTGGCTACCAGATATGGAGAACCCTTTTGTGCATTTAGTTCCTTCACTGGGTTTTGAAGAGGACACGATAAATTGTCTTATGGATGAATCTGGGCATGGCTGGGATGTAGATATGGTGTTTACATTATTTGAGGACAGGAGATAGGAGTTTAATTTATAGCATTGCTCTTTGTAGGAAACAAGAGAATGATGTGTGGCAATAGGTCTTTGATAAAAAAGGTACCTATACTGTCAAAAGTGGATACGGTGGTTTCAGCAAAATTTTGAATAAGTGCAAGGCTTGGAGGTGAAGCAGTTATGGCGTCGACTGTGGATGATTAAAGTTCCACCTCGTGTTAAGAATTTGATATGGAGAGCTAGTCGGGCATGTTTACCAACTATGGACCTCCTTTATTAAAAACAGATTCCTAGTTCTTCTTTATATCCTATATGCTAGTTGGAGGACGAGTCCATTGTTGATATTTTTATTTTCTGCAGCAGAGCTTTGGGTTGTTGGAATCTTTTAGGTGCTAAATGTCCCCAGACTCAGCCTCATTCTTTCACAAATTGGTTGCTCCATTTGATTAATACTAGTTCAGCTACTGATATGGGATTAATTGCTATTGTGATGTCTCGGTTATGGAGGAATAAGAACGACTTAGTGTGGATTAATAAGAATCAAACAGCTGATCAAATAGTCCATTGCTCTCGTCAATCTTATGATTAATGGCTTGCTGCTAATCTTGTTCCCGGTAATGACGTGATAGGTGATGTTTCTATGGTAGCAACGAAGTGGACAACTCCAGCTTTTGGATGGTTAAAATGTAATGTAGATGCCATGGTCTTCTCAGCCCATGCTTCGTTGGGCTTTAGTGCAATCTTGCGTGATTCATCTGGTGCATATGCTGCAGCAATTCATGGAGCACTATCAGGCCCTCAAGACCCTTTAATTGCAGAGGCCTTAAGCTTTCGAGAAGCTTTAAGCTGGATCAAGGCAAAAGGTTTTGTCGTAGATTGTTTTGAGTTTGATTCACTTGTTGTGCTGCAGGCTATGAGATGTCATAAAGCTGATTTGGCCTAGTTTGGTTCAATTATTAAAGATTGTAGTTTGTTATTGAATGAGCTTAGCCAATGACCTGTTAAGTTTGCTAAGAGATCAGCGAATCAAGCCACTCATACTTTAGCTAGGTTGGTTGATTCTATACCTAGTTTTCAAGAGTGGAGTCCTGTCCCTCTTACTATTCTTGTTCATATTTTGGCATCTCATTCGCTCCCTTAATACAAGTATGTTAATTTCAATTATACATATATATATTTGCATCTCATTCGCATCCCTTAATACAAGTATGCTTTTTATTTCAATTATACATATATATATATAATATATATATATATATATAGTATATATATATATTATATATATATAATTGAAATTAACTAGATTATATATAATTGAAATTAACAGATTTCTTGTCTAAAAACACACAGAAATCTGTACTTTGTTAGTAAGATGAGCTCAATTTTAACACAAATTTTGCTTGATGATACTTTATAAATTAAGTAGAAATTATGAATTAATAATTGGTTAAAGTACTATTTAGTCTTTGAGATATTGTCAAATTCGTCACTTCATCCCCCTATTTTGAAGAACCAATTATAAAATCTCCAAGGTTAGTGTACTAAGAGGTCATTCTCTCTAAAAAAATGCCTACAACTAATCATCAATGAAAATAGAAAAAATTACTATTACGTCTCTATATTGTGAAATACACTAGTCAGTCCTTACTTTTTTTAGAACACATGATTATATCCCTAATTTTTGCTCCCGTCTAACGGTTTAGTCGTTTTGTCTATCTTTTTTTTTTTTTGTTGATTTACCGTGAGTTAAAGCGCAGCCAAAGGAGAGAGAATTTTTTTATAACTAAAATACCTTAAATGAGAGAGAAGACCCAACATTTTATCCAACACCCTTTGCACATAATTAGCCACCTCAATCGGTGACTTCCCTCCAAGAAACGAGGTTTCAACAAGGCATCAAGAATTGCATGAGAGCTTTAATAATGTTATAAATATTATAATTATACGGATATCCGTTATAGTTATGTCTTTGGAATGTAAGATTATGTCATTTGGAATGTATGATTATGTACTTTGAAATATAATGTTTTGACCCTTTGGATGTATGAATATGCCTTTGAGATGTATCTTGTACCTATAAATATAAGTACCTTAACTCCATGTAGATACACTTTTCAAATGAAGAAGAATTTCTCTCTCTATATTCTCTCTATTCCATTTCTTTATATCCTTTCTATTTTCTATATTTCATAACATGTTATGAGGAGAAACTCTAGTCAAATCATATGAATTTATTTTACTACTTTGATTTGTGGTATTGCTTTCTTGATCAACTGCTTTCTTGATGAAATTGGTTAAAGAGAGGATAATTTATGGTTTGTGACAACCAAAGTTAAAATCGCATATGTAGAGTTGTTCACGTTTAAAAAGTAATTCTATATACAATTTTATCATCTATATGTTTTAGATATAAATTATAAATATAAATTCAATCCTGAATTTTATATTTGATTGGTTATCATATAGAATATAACTTTAAAATCAAAATTAGTATCCTATTGTTGTTATCATGTCAAATCCTTTACAGGATTTGGATTTGTTATTTTTAATACATTGATTATGAATTATCTTTATATATGGATATTATGTGTCCTGAAGACACAATAAGGAAGAAAATAAAAAAAAAAATCAAAATTGCACTAAAGCAATATTTTCCTTCCACTAAATATTTAACAATTAAATATCCACTTATTCTTGGAATAATCTGAGGAAATTTTAATTTGAAATGTGTAGCCAAAAAATTATAAATAAATTATTGAGTTAGCACAATATTATATTTTCTCTTAGATATTTTTTCATTAAAAGAAACATATGGTACAAATTATGAGATTTGACTGATTTATTTATTAATAAAAATATTATCATTTTTAATCCATAAATTGTGAATAATATTTTGCACTCCTACAGTAGAATTATTGAGAAAAAAAAATATTTTAATATATCGATTGTGGATTTTAAATTAGTTCTATTCTTTTTGTTTTTGAGCAAAAATTAAGCTTTTAATTCACATAATAAGATTTGTTTTCATTCCCTGAAATGAATATAATGGTATTA